AAGTTAGTCAATTGTTGGATCTTCTATTATTCCCACTGAATTTCTGCTAAACAAGCATTTCATATAAGTAGATTCTGTCCTTCACATTTTTAGTTTTGTTATCTGCCTAAATCTGTAGATGTGGTAGGAAGAGGAAAAGCAGCCTTCCTGCTTTATCATATTCCAGCAAGTCTCCAGAAATACTCCAGACGTATGCAACAGTATCTCTACACCTGATAGTGAAACTGAGATTAAAAAAAAAAAAAATCTATACAGCTTCTATTCATTAACATTTAGGCAGAAAATAGTGAAGTTGAATGACTCGTACAAGATTTTTACACATTTATAGAATTAGAATTAACCTTAAGTGGAAAAAGGTTTTGTGGAATCAAGTTTTCAAATTTGAGCACGTGGTCTTCAATACAACATATTTATTGGTTTAAAGGACCTTAATAGAGTATCATAAATTTGGGCCTTGCTGCAATTTTTATTGAAATTTTAAAATCATATATTAAAATATGATGCAGGCATCACACAATAAAAGTATGTTATGTCCCTTCTGCTTCTATTGTTAATGTTGTGCAGAGGAATCTGTACAAATGGATAAAAAGTGCTCACTGAAGTCACTGAAAGTGACTTCTCTTCATGAGTGAAATAATTATCTTCCGCTAATGACCTTCATAATCCAGATCCCTCTTTAGAAAGGAAAAAAAGCTGCCAGTAAGTTTTTGCAGAGCTGGATTTTCCAAAAATTAGCCTACAAAATGGGTGTTCCTTCACTACATTTTCTTTCCCAAGAGGAAACATGCAACAATACTAATGGTAATCTTATTGTGTTCCTCCTGCTAAACTTTGTGTGTGGTTGTAGATGTCTTATGTCTGGTTTTGCGCTGGATTAGTCCCAGCAGAATTGCTTTTGATGGACATGATTAGAGATTGAAGTCACACTCTTACAGTGTACTAAATTTTACTGGGCAATTTTCTCGGTTATTTTTTGACTTCTGTACCAAAACCAGTAGAAGATCCAAGTTCTTCCTCAGCATTCTCCTTCCCACAATGTTCATGTTTCTTTTCTTTCTA